CTGTACCCACACTGTCCCTTACACTCTGTGCCCGCCTCCAGCTGTACCCACACTGTCCCTTACACTCTGTGCCCGCCTCCAGCTGTACCCACACTGTCCCTTACACTCTGTGCCCGCCTCCAGCTGTACCCACGCTGTCCCTTGTTCTGTAAACTCCTGGTACAGGTCTAAGTTTCTGTTTCCTATGCAGTGACAGTACGAGGCTCTGTGTAACCCTGTATTTTTCGGGGTGCTCCAACTTCACTCCAGCCACCCTCTACCTCTCCCTATGAACCCCGACTGGCTCGTCTACGTCCTTGTTGTCGCGGCTTAATTTCCAAATCAACCGCCTGCTGCGTGACGTGCGTCATGACGTCGTAGCGTCGCCGGTTGACCGCGGCCATTTTACAAGTTGGAAAAAAAAAACCCCAAGGTCTGGTGACGTGGTGTACGGATCATCTTGGCTCGAGCCGCCATGTTTATTGCGGGCACCACCAAGAGACATTGAGAAAAGCTGTGAACTCCAGTGTCATTCAGATAGAGGCTGGCTCACACACCGATGGAGTCACAGGGCCCCCGGTTAGATGTGGGGCCCCCAGGAAACCCAGTCCCCGGGAGATGTAGTTACTTTGTGCAGAGGAAGAGGAGGTTCTGTAAGATGGTTGTGTCCGAGGGGAAGAGATTATGTGGGGAACATGCCCAGCATGGGGAGGTATGGAATACATTTACTCACACACATTGATATAAAACATAAACAGGAGAGATGGAAACTAAGTGTGTAGATGCAGTGGTTATGGTGGTGGGAGTCCTGGTCAATGAAAAGTTCTGCTTTACAATATAACATTATAGCAAAACTTTCACTTCTCTTGTTCTTATAACAACTTCAACTCATTGAAATTGTTAGGGGGCTGGAGGGTCCCCAGCATTGTCTTACCTTCAGAGGGGCTGGAGGGTCCCCAGCATTGTCTTACCTTCAGAGGGGCTGGAGGGTCCCCAGCATTGCCTTACCTTCAGAGGGGCTGGAGGGTCCCCAGCATTGCCTTACCTTCAGAGGGGCTGGAGGGTCCCCAGCATTGCCTTACCTTCAGAGGGGCTGGAGGGTCCCCAGCATTGTCTTACCTTCAGAGGGGCTGGAGGGTCCCCAGCATTGTCTTACCTTCAGAGGGGCTGGAGGGTCCCCAGCATTGTCTTACCTTCAGAGGGGCTGGAGGGTCCCCAGCATTGTCTTACCTTCAGAGGGGCTGGAGGGTCCCCAGCATTGTCTTACCTTCAGAGGGGCTGGAGGGTCCCCAGCATTGTCTTACCTTCAGAGGGGCTGGAGGGTCCCCAGCATTGCCTTACCTTCAGAGGGGCTGGAGGGTCCCCAGCATTGCCTTACCTTCAGAGGGGCTGGAGGGTCCCCAGCATTGCCTTACCTTCAGAGGGGCTGGAGGGTCCCCAGCATTGTCTTACCTTCAGAGGGGCTGCAGGGTCCCCAGCATTGTCTTACCTTCAGAGGGGCTGCAGGGTCCCCAGCATTGTCTTACCTTCAGAGGGGCTGGAGGGTCCCCAGCATTGCCTTGCCTTCAGAGGGGCTGGAGGGTCCCCAGCATTGTCTTGCCTTCAGAGGGGCTGGAGGGTCCCCAGCATTGTCTTACCTTCAGAGGGGATGGAGGGTCCCCAGCATTGTCTTACCTTCAGAGGGGCTGCAGGGTCCCCAGCATTGTCTTACCTTCAGAGGGGCTGCAGGGTCCCCAGCATTGTCTTACCTTCAGAGGGGCTGCAGGGTCCCCAGCATTGTCTTACCTTCAGAGGGGCTGGAGGGTCCCGAGCATTGTCATACCTTCAGAGGGGCTGGAGGGTGCCCAGCATTGTCTTACCTTCAGAGGGGCTGGAGGGTCCCCAGCATTGTCTTACCTTCAGAGGGGCTGGAGGGTCCCCAGCATTGTCTTACCTTCAGAGGGGCTGGAGGGTCCCCAGCATTGTCTTACCTTCAGAGGGGCTGGAGGGTCCCCAGCATTGTCTTACCTTCAGAGGGGCTGGAGGGTCCCCAGCATTGTCTTTCCTTCAGAGGGGCTGGAGGGTCCCGAGCATTGTCTTACCTTCAGAGGGGCTGGAGGGTCCCGAGCATTGTCTTACCTTCAGAGGGGCTGGAGGGTCCCGAGCATTGTCTTACCTTCAGAGGGGCTGGAGGGTCCCAGCACGGTCTTACCTTCAGGGGTTGAACTACTTTTCAGCGGTTCAACCCGAGATTTGGTCCTCCAGTGTCCAACGTTGCAACTTCCTACCAGCCCCCATCGTATGAGAAAGGTTTGTCCAGCTGAGTACGTACAAGCTCTACCATGGTGTATACAAGGGACTTTGCTAGGGAATCCATACTTGAGACTAGCACAACATTACTTCAGAATTAAAAATTAAAACAAACGGGTAGGAATGTTTGGTACATAGTATAATCATGTGTACTTTTATTCCAGGAACAAAACAGTCGGAAGCGTATCCCTTGCCCTTTGGATCCCAAGCAGTAAGTTACTAAGCTTTAACTACTTTTGATTAATATATTTTAGCTGTAAATCTTACCTTCCCCCTCCCCCTCCCATTGTGTTTTTTTTGTTTTTTTTAATATAGCACAGTGTATGAGGATCAGCTCCAAAAACACCTTAAAAAATGTAACTCCAGAGAGAAACCACTGCCGGTATGTAGTATGTCATACGTCTGTTAATGAATGCAATTCACCCAAAACACAGTAGCCATTTCCCTACTAATTGTTTTCAGTTTTATGTGATCTCTAAAGGTTTTGCTGATAAATCTGTTATAATTAGGGTACCTGCTGTAAATTGTCTTGCATTTGGGTCTATAAACTGAACACGAAATTGTAGTGAATGGAAAATTTCATTAAAAAAAAAAAAAAAAAGGCTAAAATAGCCTAGCTGTGTCTATAACCTAGATGGTTATTTTTTTTACCAAATGTAATGACTTTTTTTTTTTTTTAACCAAATAAGATGCTTTCATTTTTGTGCTTTAAAAATTCTTTAAATTCTTTAAATTAATTAGTACTGTCTTCTAGGAGTGTTGATCTTTTGGTTGATTTAAAATTCATCCAGGGTCAACTTTGGTAATTTTAACATGCTTTTTAGGTGTTTTATATGCACAATGTGAACGCTGGATCACTTGATAGAGTCTCGTGTGAAGAGCAGGTATGAACAAAGTGTTTTCTTATAATTTGGGTAGAATGTGACGGCAGATAAGAACCATTCGTCCCATCTAGTCTGCCCAATTTTTTAAATATGTTCATTAGTCCCTAGCCTTATCTTATAGTTAGGATAGCCTTATGCCTATCCCACGCATGCTTAAACTCCTTTACTGTGTTAACCTCTACCACTTCGGCTGGAAGGCTATTCCATGCATCCACTACCCTCTCAGTAAAGTAATACTTCCTGATATTATTTTTAAACCTTTTCCCCTCTAATTTAGGACTATGTCCTCTTGTTGTAGTAGTTTTTTCTTCTTTTAAATATGGTCTCCTCCTTTTTTATTATTATTTTATTATTTATATAGCACCATCATATTCCGTTGCGCTGTACATTGGGTGGACTAATAGACATGTAATTTTAACTCTGCTCAATGAGCTTACATTCTTTAATGTGTTGATTCCCTTTATGTATTTAAATGTTTCTATCATATCCCCCCCCGTCTCGTCTTTCCTCCAAGCTATACATGTTAAGATCCTTTAACCTTTCCTGGTAAGTTTTTATCCTGCAATCCATGAACCAGTTTAGTAGTCCTTATCTGAACTCTCTCTAAAGTATCAATATCCTTCTGAAGATACGGTCTCCAGTACTGCGTACAATACTCCAAGTGAGGTCTCACCAGTGTTCTGTACAATGGCATGAGCACTTCCCTCTTTCTACTGCTAATACTTCTCCCTATTCAGCCAAGCATTCTGCTAGCATTTCCTGCAGCTCTATTACATTGTCTGCCTACCTTTAGGTCATCAGAAATAATCACCCCTAAATCCCTTTCCTCAGATGTTGAGGTTCGGAATCTATCCTATGCACGGCCTGATCTCTCTTGAATTTTAAATACATTGACTCACAGACCCCGGGTAAATTGTCAAGCTATTCACAAAGCTTGACTACTTACCCTGCAAGGCCACCGAGGCACTCCTTGCACCATATCCACTACAGCAGTGGTTATGGTACATGGAGTGCTCTTGTGAAGGCACACAATAGTCACCTATATCACTTCATCTCAGTGCAGTGGTCCTGTCATTTTTTTCCCTGCAATGTAGAAATAGCATTATTAACATGGAAGGGTTAATACACTGCTTGTCTGTCTGACAGCCACTAGAAGTTCTTCTCCCTCTATAGCCGGCTAATGAATCAGATTGGTCTCATAGTGACCATTTGATTGGTTTAATTGGATGGTTTGCCGAGATAATCTTTCTGCATTCAGCCAAGGAGGCGGAGTAGCATTGTGGAGATTGGCATGGCAAGGTACGTAAAACTCTCCTTTTAAACGCTCAAAGGCGGGGGGGGAGGGGGAGGAGCATTGGAAGTACATGTATTTCTAATGCTCAAATGTTCCTTTAAGAGCATTTGTTCTGATGCCCAGGTTCTTCAAAAGTGACTTGAAACAAATTGGGTTTTCTTTTTAAACACGTATGCTTTACTATATTTTCAATGTACTTCCCATGAGCTGTTTATTCTCTACACATCTTGAGTTACAATACAAAAGCGGCTTTTAAAGGACCACTATAGTGCCAGGAAAACACTCTTTTTCCTGGCACTATAGTGCCCTGAAGGTGCCCCCACCCTCAGGGTCCCCCTCCCGCCGGGCTCTGGGGGGAGGAAAGGGTTAAACTTATCTCTTTCTCCAGCGCCAGGCGGGGAGCTCTCCGCCTCTTCGGCTGAATGCGCAGCAAGAGCTGCGCGCGCATTCAGCCAGTCCATAGGAAAGCATTCTCAATGCTTTCCTATGGACGCAAGCATCTTCTCACTGTGAAAATCACAGTGAGAAGCGCCGAAGCCCTCTAGCGGCTGTCAATGAGACAGCCACTAGAGGCTGGATTAACCTATAGGTAAACATAGTTTCTCTGAAACTGCTATGTTTACAGAAAAAAGGGTTAACCCTAGATGAACCTGGCACCCAGACCACTTCATTAAGCTGAAGTGGTCTGGGTGCCTATAGTGGTCCTTTAAAGAAACACCCAGTTAGCGGTTTACATGCTATGTATTACACATAGCATATGTTGGTGCCTAGAGTGTAGATCAACAGTTTGCATTAGTGTTTTTGATTTTGTTTTTGAGACAGCAGCAAGCAGTGAATCCTCTCCCAATCTCTTCCTACATTTAGGTGGCCATCAGTTCCATGTCACGAGAAGATCTTCAAAAGTTTATAGAGATACTGGTACAAGTAACAACTGGTGGGTCCAGCAAAGCCTAATGTTCAATAGTCCTTAAGTTGTAATAGTTTATTTAAAAAATTATATAGAATTGTTACTTTTCTAATTTTAATATATACAGATAACACACAATTTAAAGGCAAAATAACCATTGTTGATTTTCTGTTAAAAAAATAAATAAAATAATATACAGAATAATTACTTTACAGAGAAGATTGTATTTTAAATAGTTTCTGAATTTTAAACCTGCAAGCTTTACCAATCTTATACAAATACTTGTACATGTAATTCTATTGTTTTATTTCTTTGATAGTGAAGGAGTTAAATATATTGTCAGTGAGAAATCCAGAAAATCTGTCACAATTTTAAACAGAGTATAAAAGATGAAATGTGAATATTTGTGCAGGACTGAACACTCCATTACCAGACAAGAAACTTCGGCACTGGGCATTACAAGAAGCCTTAAATGATCCTGTGAATGGAGAGTCTGCTGCAAAGCACTTAAAGCAACAGGTTAGAGGAAACTGGGTTATTCTGACACAGATACAGCTTTATTTTTAATGTTTCCCACAGCACATACAGTGGACGTTAAGTCTTAAGTTCAGTGGACCATATAATCCTTAAAGGGACAGTATAGTCACTATAACAACTACAGCTGATTGTATTTGTGCTAATGAGTAGAATCATTCCCTTCAGGCCTTTTGCAGTAAACAGTCTTTTCAATAACTCCACTGGCCACTCCTCAGATGGCTGGTAGAGGTGCTTCCTGGGGTACTGCTGCACACTGTGCAGTACTGCCATTCACTGTCTCCACCCTCTGCATGCAAACACTGAACTTGATTCAATGCATCTCGATAAGGAGGGTGTGTTTGACTTGTGCTTTGCCCCTGATCTCCTTCCTTGACAGTCTCAGCCAATCATATGGGAAAGCATTGTGATTGGCTCACAGAATCATTTCTGATGATGTCAGCCAGCTGTAAGATCAGGGACAGAGGCAGTGCTGCAGACTTGAATAGAAGTACGATTTTACTATACTGTACTTAGCGAGGCTAGGGTACAAGATGCATATATTGGAAGAATTATGTGATGGATTTCAGCTCAACATGTAGTGACCTGTCTCCTTCCTGTCCACAGGCTTCTATTTTGGGTCACTTGGACAGTTTGGGTTTGCTAGGAGGCTCTAGATGCTTTGTAGAATTTGGTGCAGGACGTGGCAAGCTGTCCCACTGGGTGGACATTGCTTTACAAGATGCTGAAAATGTTCATTTTATTTTGGTGGAGAGAGCTACTACAAGATTTAAGGTATGAGTCTGCAAACCAACTCCTCCCACCCCCTTAACACACACACATCCTCACACCACAAAAAAATCTGACAAATTAACAGCATGGATAATGTCTACGAGAGTCTTGAAGCAGTTCATAACCAGGAACATAAAAGGAAAAAAGCCACACCAAGTAATTTAACAGGAATCTATGCAGATAAGAGGAGGTTCTTACCTTACTAGTAGATTTCTATCCAACAATCCACATACATTTGGCAACATTTTCTACTCATTGTAATAACTATGGTACTAGCAAACAACTGGTACCATGCTCACAACCGTTCTATTATTATTTTATTGTTTAAACAGTGGCAGCAAATTCCATAGCGCTGTACAATGGGTGGACTAACAGACACGTAATTGTAACCAGAAAAGTTGGATGCACAGGAACAGAGGGGTTTAGTTCCCTGCTCAATGAGCTTACATGCTAGAGGGAGTGGGGTATAGTGACACAAAGGGTAAAAGTAGGGATAACTAAGTGCAAGATGTATCAATGGTGCTTGGACTGCCCCTTTAAATCAATACAACCGGATCATTGCTTCTTACATTTTAATGATCAATAAAATTACTTACCATCATCACAGTCAAGTCTGTAAATATCTCATGCTTGCATGGCAGGTCCTATTTATTTGGAATGCTAAGCTTTACAGAACCCTATCCTGACATTCCATTTTTTAATAGGATCCTTAAAGGGACACTTCACTGCCCAAAGAAAAAATCATTGTTTAGTAGATCTATCCACAATCAAAATATGAACACATTTAATTATGCATTTTATTTCAGTGAGGGTATAACTAAAAATATATTGTAAAAGCTGCATATCTGAAGCCTGTCCAGACTTTCTGTGGCCTGTCCAGACTTTCTGTGGCTCTTCCGTTACAGCCTTCCAAATGCAGCTCACTGAGAAGTCTTTGCAAGGCAGATGCTCTAAACAATCTCCTGCCTCTTACATTTAGCTCAATTAAGCTAAGCCAAGAAATAAGAGGACCGGTTGTCAGATAGCCAGAGCGGTGCAACAATGAAATTTTTAAAAGTGCCAATGTCTATTAAAATCTGCACTTTTTGTAAAATGTAAAAAAGGAGACACGTTCTTCACACAGGGGTAAGGTGTTCCTTTAAATATTAGTTTGTAATGATGACATGGAATATTATTAGTCTTAAGGTATTAAACCTCATGTGATGTCACCCTTTAGGTAGTTGTACGTTTCCTAGTCCAAATATTTGTTTTCAAATATTTAATGGTTAGGCTACAGCTCCTTTATTTTTATAGGAGTATTGTAACTGATTCTGTTCTTTACTACAGGTAGATGGGAAGCAGAGAAAATCTACTTTTGAGAGGCTTCATATTGACATTCAGCATTTGTGCTTAGGTTGGTGTGATCACAGATACAAGGGTGGTTAAAGAAATGTTATAATACAACAGTGTAAAACTAATTTGTTTTTCTCAGATAGGGTGCCCAGCCTTGTTCAGAAGCAACTTCCAGTCATTGGAATTGGAAAGCACCTGTGTGGAGCTGGGACAGGTAGGAGCAGTGTCTTGGGGAAGCTTACATTCTATAGGAGGTGGGGTGTAAAACACATTAGGACAGGAATTTGCAGTCAAATGAGGTGGGCTGCCCTTTAGGAGAGAGCAAGAGACAGGTATGTGAGGTAGAGGTTACTCTGGGAGGCCATAAGCTTTCCTAAAGAGATGGGTTTTAAGGCACTTCTTAAAAGATGCAAGACTAAAGGAGAGTCTGATGGCGGTAGGTAGGCTATTCCATCGGAAGGGAGCCGCCCGCAAGAAGTCCTGCAAGCCTGAGTTGGCCGTACGGGTGTGGACAATGGACAGGAGGTGGTCACGGGCAGAGCGGAGAGACCAAGAATACAGGAAGCCAATGTAAGGACTGGCAGAGGGGTGAGGTGTGAGAGAAACGACTAGAGAGAAAAATCAGTCTGGAAGCAGCGTTCATTATGGACTGTAGCGGTGCAGTACGGCTTTTGGGAAGACCAATCAGGAGAGGGTTACAATAATCCACGCGGGAAATTACTAGAGCATGGACAAGCTTGTGTAAGAAAGGGGTGGATGCGGGCTATGTTTTTAAGATGGAATCTACAGGATTTGGCAACATGCTGGATGTGAGGCTCAAAGGTGAGGTCAGAATCAAGTATGACGCCAAGACAGTGCGCTTGCAAGGATGGACTGATGTTGATACCACTAACTTGAAGGGAGAGCGAAAGAGCTGGATCAGTATTAGGAGGAAGAAAGACAAGGAGCTCAGTTTTAGAGAGATTGAGTTTCAGAAAGCGGGAGGACATCCAGTCAGAGATGGAAGAAAGGCAAGCAGTGACACGTTCCAGGACGGCAGGGGAGAGGTCCGGGGAGGAGAGATATAACTGGGTGTCATCAGCATACAGGTGGTAGTGGAATCCAGTTGAATAAGTTTGCCAAGAGAGGCAGTATAAAGAGAAAATAATAGGGGACCAAGGACAGAGGCATGGGGAACTCCAACCGAGACAGGACGAGGGGAGGAGGTATCATTAAAAAAGGAGACCCTGAATGAGCGTTGGGAGAGATAAGAGGAAAACCACGAGAGGACAAAGTCACAGAGACCGAGTGATTGAAGAGTTTGAAGGAAAGCATGATCAACGGTGTCAAAGGCCGCAGAGAGGTCAAGAAGAATTAGTATGGAGTAGTGGCCTTGGGATTTAGCTGCGATTAGGTCGTTAGTAACTTTGATAAGCACAGTCTCAGTAGAGTGGAGGGGGTGGAAGCCAGATTGAAGAGGGTCAAGGAGAGAGTTGGAATTGAGGAAATGAGACACACGGGTAAAGACAAGTCTTTCCAGAAGCTTTGAGTAGTAATTAATTATGTGATTATCTGATATCCATTGATTATCAGAATTATATCATTGTTTTAGTATACATAAAATATATTTGAAGGCTGACTCCTTAATATACCAAGTGATGTTGAAAAATAAAATCACTATGCATAAATTGTAGCATATGTTTAAAATCTAGGCACTTAGAGATTTGGACACTAAACCTTCTGCCGACCAATGTGCATATGTTGGCCAATTTAGTGTGGGTAGAGTTTGGCTTTTTTCATTTTGCTACTCTGGCCTAAATGTTACAAGTTGGTTGTTAAAGTGCTATTACTCACTGCTTAGAAATTAAACCCCTTAGAAATTTGTTATTATATAATTCTTCTTAACATGAGACTTTTGTTCTATATATGTTATAAATTGACCATTATATTTGTATTATTGCAGATCTGGCATTGCGTTGTCTTGCACAGACTTACTTTTCTCCATTGGGAGATCCTCCGTGCAAGCGTCCAAGACTAAATCCCACTGGGGACAATTCAGATGAAAAAGGGAGCAGTAACTCTCCACTAAATCAATACAGCCCTGTTGCAGGAATCGTTCTTGCTTTATGTTGTCACCATCGATGTGACTGGCAATTCTATGTAGGGAGAGACTTTTTCAAAAATCTAGGCCTTGGGCAGAGAGAATTTAACATTTTTCAGCGCATGTCCAGCTGGGCAACGTGTGGGTTCCACAAACTAGCAACTGATGTGTCTCATGCCGGTAAGAAGAATGACCCAGAGGATGAGGAAGACAATAAAGATGAGCAGAAGAATTTAGACTGTAATTCAGAGACCATCCAACGGTGAGACAGAACTTCACAGTTTTATATAAATGTTCAACTACAGTCTTAAAATTATATTTTAAAGTCCTGTCTGTGTTTTTAAGGTTTCTGACTGTGGATGAACGTGAGCATTTGGGACGTCTCTGTAAGCTCCTGATCGACCAAGGACGTCTACATTACTTGAAAAGCATTGGATATAGACCAACACTACATTATTACACAGACCCTGAGGTTTCCTTAGAGAATGTTCTGCTTACAGCCTTACCCCAACAGCATAATTGAGGGCTGCAAGCTAGTTGCTTGATTTATAGTTGACATACAGTGCAGAAATGAGTCTACAGAGAGGAGTATGGATTACGAGTATTTTAAACCCATCCAGATCAACATGTCCGAGACACAGAATTGAGAGATTTGCCCCAACCTAGCTCTGAAGGGGAAAATCAGGACATAAAGCTGTTTTTTGTGACACATATGATAAACTCTGATAATAGCTTGCAAAGGAGATTTAGTACTCCACCAGTACAGACTGTAAATAAACCTGAGTCATTTGCTCTTCATGCAGTTTTCCATACATAATCAGAGATCCTGCTACTCAGATTTCTGAAAATCAGATATTTTTTGATTAACAGCATTTTGTCGCTGGATACATTTGAACACTGCAGGACCTCTCCCAGACCATTTTGACCACAGATTCAGAGTTTATCTGGTTAACTTCTCATTAAGTGTCATCTTCGTGTAAATTACTTAGACCTTGAATTCAAACTTTTAATGGAACACTTGCTCCGTTTTGCCTGTTCCTTATTTACCATCTTTTAATTTCACATTTTCAGTTCCATCTTATTGGATACAGTCTGTGTTTTCTGAAAGAGAATACAGCTGTTAGTTTGATTCCACTGAAAATCAGTATTAATTTATGTTTCTATTACTGCTAAACAGATGTTATGGCTTATGAGTTACTTTTATACCTGTAAATTTTAAAGGAGCACAGAATTATTAAAATAGATGATTTACTTCCCTTTTTCCAGCGCCGTCGGTCTTGCTTACCTCTCTGCCTTCTGTAGCATGATTGCATATGATGGCCAGGAGAGGTGATTTAAAATTTCAGTTTTTAAAAAAAAAATGTGCAATGTTTTACATTGCAGGCTTAAAGCTAAAGGACCACTGCATCGAGACCACCTCATTGTGATAAAGTAGCCTGGGTGACTAGTGATATGAGTTTTCTTTTACATTTGGATTTACAAAACGTTGGTTTTATTTTATTTGAAATAAATTAAGCCTTATAAGTTTCTTCATTTGTTGTTCTTTTCCCCCTATACAAATAGATCTGGTACATCAAATCTAGACGTAAAATGTCTGTCACAACAAACTTGCCTTTCTCCTATTGTTCTTCTCTTCCTCTTTCAGAATCTGTTGTGCATTTCTGTTCTATATATATTTAAAACATAATATAAAGTAGGGATTAATTTGTCTTATGTATGTTAAGCTCCAACCCTGAAATATAGGAAAAATACAAAAAACAAAGTAGCCCTTACTTTGTCTTATGTTTTTCAGGCTATCCTAGACTTAAGATAAGGCCAGAGACTAATTAAAGTATTTTGAAAATTGGGCAGACTAGATGGGCCGAATGGTTCTTAACTGTCGTCACATTCTATGTTTATTCCAGTCTGCTGGTGCTGGCTTTGCCCCTGATCTGACTCCTTGTCTGACACCATCAAAAATTATGATATTTGCCAATCACAATGCTTTGCTATAGGAAAGAATTGGATTGGCTGAGATTGTCAATTCTGATAAACTCAGCCATGGAGGCATGCTGGGGGCGAAGCCAAATGCCGCCCTGGCCAATCAGCATCTCCTCATAGAGATGCGTTGAATCAATAAATATATATGAGGAAAGTTCAGTGTCTCCATGCAAAAGATGGAAACACTGGGAAGTGGCCATTGAAGGTGTCCCTAGGCTGTAATGTAAACACTGCCTTTTCTCTGAAAAGACAGTGCTTACTGCAAAAAGCCTACAGGGACTGACTATACTCACCAGAACAACTACAATAAACTGTGGTTGTTCTGGTGACTATGGATTCCCTTTAACTGCAAAACCCTCTCTGTGATCTACTTGTTAAGTTGCACATGTGGACTACAATATGTAGGGCAGATATATCACAAACTCAAAACTAGGTTACGGGAAAATCTTCATTCTTTTGTTAACCTCAAGTCAAATACATCTACATTTTAGAATGTATCATAATTCTGATCCTACACAATTGGCATACAAAGTATTCCATTTTATGACTATCAGACAGCCACTAGAGGGACCTCC